TTAATTTATTTTGATTTATCAACAATCACTTCCATATGCTTTTGAGTTTAAAAATTTTCTCCACCTCCCTCCCCACCACCTTCACCAAGATAGCACACAATCTGACATAGGCTACACATGTACATTCCTATTAAACATATTTTCACATTAGTGATGTTGTAAGGAAGAATTAGAACCAATAGGAGGAACTACCAGAAAGAGGAAACAAAACTCAACAGAAGAAAAAAATAGAAAATAGTACCCTTCGATCTGCATTCAAACTCCATATTTCTTTCTTTGGATGCGGACAGCATTTTCCATCATGAGGCCTTTGGAGATGTCTTAGATCTTTGTATTGCTGGGAAGGGTTAAGTTTATCAATACTAGTCATCACACAACGTGGCTGTTGCTGTGTACAACGTTCTCCTGGTTCTGCTCACTTCACCCAGCATCAGACCATACAAGTATTTCCAGGTTTTTCTGAAGTCAGCCTGTTGTTCATCATTTCTTATAGCACAATAGTATTCCATTACATTCATATACCTAAACTTGTTCAGTCATTCCCCAGTTGATGGGCATCCTCTCAACTTCCAATTCTTTGCCACCACAAAAAGAGCTGCTATAAATATTTTGTACATGTGGGTCCTTTTCCCATTTGTATGATCTCTTTGGGATACAGCCCGAGATTTATAGCCCTTTGGGCATAGCTCCAAATTGCTCTCCAAAATGGTTGGATCAGTTTACAACTCCACCAACAATGCATTAGTATTCCAATTTTCCCACATCTTCTCCAACATTTATCATTTTCTTGTTTTGTCATCTTGGCCAATCTGATAGGTGTGATGTGGTACCTCAGAGTTGTTTTGATTTGCATTTCTCTAATCAATAGTGATTTAGAGTATTTTTTCATATTACTATAAATGGCTTTAATTTCTTATCTGAGAACTGCCTGTTCATATCCTTTGACCATTTATCAACTGGGGAATGACTTGTATTCTTATAAATTTGACTTACTTCTCTATATATTTTAGAAAAGAGGCCCTTATTAGGGAGACTGGTTGTAAAAATTCTTTCCCAATTTTCTACTTTCCTTCTAATCTTGGTTGCATTGGCTTTGTTTGTGCAAAAACTTTTCAATTTAATGTAATCAAAGTTATCCATTTTGCTTTTTTTAATGTTTTCTATCTCCTGTTTGGTCATGAATTCTTCTGTTCTCCATAAATCTGATAAGTAATTCCTTGCTCTCCCAGTGTGCTTATAGTATCAGCCTTTATATCTAAATCATGAACCCATTTTGACTTTATTTTGGTATATGGTGTGAGATTTTGATCTATGCCTAGTTTCTGCCATACTCTTTTCCAGTTTTCCCAGTAGTTTTTGTCAAAGTTCTTATTCCAAAACCTGGGGTCTTTGGGTTTATCAAATAATAGATTACTATAGTCATTTACTACTGTGTCTTGCAAATTTAACCTATTCCACTGATCCACCACTCTATTTCTTAGCCAGTACCAAGCAGTTTTGATGATTACTGCTTTATAATACAATTTAAGAGCTGGAATGGCTAGACCACCTTCCCCTGCATTTCTTTCCATCAGTTCCCTTGATTTTCTGGACCTTTCGTTCTTCCAAATGAATCTTGTTATTATTTTTTCTAACTCTATAAAGTAATGTTTTGGTAGTTTGATTGGTATGGCACTGAATAAGTAAATTAGTTTAGGTGGAATTGTCATTTTTATTATATTAGCTTGGCCTACCCATGAGCAACTAATGCTAAGTCTTGTTCTTAATAAAAATCTCAACCAAGTAACAAACTGGAAATGGATCATGAGATGCTGGTATCTCTATTTAAAGCTCTACCAAGAATATAGCTCTTAGTTAACAAGAAACAGAATCAGGAGACTGCTTATTTGACTCTGTTCTGTTAAAATTTAGCAACTCTGTGAAACTAAAATGTTTGTTTATTCTAGAATTTATTTCCTTTTATATTATATAGGGGGTAGAGGTTTTACTGAAAGTCACTGAGGTAGAGGATTAAAAAAATTATGGATCTCTCCCCTAAAGCTCTGCTTTGTTTGTATTCTTTAATCCATCAAAAGTGGCTGCCTCAGAAGGGAGGGCGCATTAAGAGAGGTAGTGTTTGGAAGCAAAACACACTTTTGATGAGGGACAGAGTAAAAAGAAAGAGAAAGAAGGATAAACAGCGGAAAAAATAAGGAGGAGGGAAATAGACAGTTAATAATCACAACTATGAATGTGAAGGGGATGAATTCACCCATGAAATGGAAGTGGATAGTAGAATAAATTAAATACCAGAATCCAACAATAGTTTACAAGAAACACACAGAGTCAAAATAAGGGGCTGGAGCAGAATCTATTATACTTCAGCTGAAGTTTTAAAAAAAGGGTAGTAATCATGATCTCAGATAAAGTAAAAGCAAAAATTGGGCTAATTAAAAGAAATAAGCAAGGAAACTACATTTTGCTAAAAGGTATCATAGACAATGAAGTAATATCAATACTAAACATATACCCACCAAATGACATAGCATCCAAATTCTCAAAGGAAAAATTAAATGAGTTAGAGTAGGAAATAAGTCTAATCATAAAATAAACAAGAAAGAAGTGAAGGAGATGAATAGAATAGAAAACTTAGATATGATAGATCTCTAGAGAAAACTGAATGGGAATAGAAAGGAGCATACCTTTTTCTAAGCTGTACATGGCACCTTCACAAAAGTCAACCACGTACTAGGGCATAAAAATGTCACAACCAAATGCAGAAAAGCAGACATATTAAATGCATCCTTTTCAGACCATAATGCAATAAAAATTACATTCATTAAAGGGCCACGGATATATAGATTAAAAATTGGAAACTAAATAATATAATCCTAAAGAATGAGTGGGTCAAAGAACAAATCATAGAAACAATAAATAATTTCATTAAAGAGAATGACAACAGTGAGACAATATACCAAAACTTATGGGAGTAAAGCAGTAATGGATGGAATATTTACCAAAATATAAATTGCCCAGATTAACAGAAGAGGAAATAGAATACTTAAATAACTATGTCTTAGGGAAAGAAATTGAAAGCCATCAGTGAGCTCCCTAAGAAAAAAATCCCCAGGACCAGATGGAAAGAATGACTAATTTCAATGCCATATAAACTATTTGGAAAAATAGACAAAGAAGGAATCTTTCCAAATTCCTTTTATGACACAAATATGGTACCGATACCAAAGCCAAAAAGAGTAAAAATAGATAAAGTATTTATAGCAGCTCCTTTTGTGCTGGCAAAGAACTGGAAATTGAGGAAATGTGGGGAATGGTTGAACAAGTTGTAGTATATGATTAAGATGAATGCTATTGTGTTATAAGAAATGACACAAAGGATGCTCTCAGAAAAACTTAGAAAGACTTACATGAACTGATGATACAAAGTGAAGTGAGCAGAACCAGAAGAATACCTGTGTAAATAACAGCAACATTGTATGATGATCAACTGTAAATGATGTAGCTATTCTGAACAATATAATGTACCAAGACAATTCCAAGAGAATCAATGAAAAAAATGTGAAAGAAGGCAACCGTGCAGTACCAGATCTCAAACCACATTACAAAGTGGTAAAATTACAAAGAGGAAAAATCTTATCCATATCCCCACAACAAACTGATGGAGTCTGAATGCAGATTGAAGCATACTTTTTTAAACTTTATTTTCCATTTCCTTTTGGTTTGTTTTACTTGGCAATATGGCTAATGTGGAAATGTTTTGCATGACAGCACAGGTATAATCTATATCAAATTGCTTGCCTTCTTGAGGAGAAATTGGAAATCAAAATTTAAAAAAATGAATGTTGCAATTTTTTTAATATAAATGAGAAAAAATGAGATTAAAAAATAGGTGACTGCCTCCTAAAAGAATAAATGATTTCGTAAAAGGTGGCAGGTACATAGAACGATCAGACCCACTGTGAAGAGCAGGTGTGACTTCCATAGCTTTGTACAAAGGCTCCCCTTTGCTTTATTTTAAACCCTCATCTCATTCTTTGCAGCCACTAGCAGTAAAAAAAGAAACAGGCAAAAACTATAGGAAAAAAAAATCAAAAGAAAGCCAGTGTTAATTAAGTAATAGCTGAATATTGGAACCACTGGACACCGTAAAGAGGGTCCCCAAGCTTTAGATAGGTGGGAAAGAGAAAACATTGGTGAGCTGCTAGTCTAGGCCTCAGAAGAATTTTAAGAAGTTTATGGCCACAAACTCTCTAGATGCAGTTATTTAATTTTTTCCTTTTCTTTTTAAGAGTTATTTGGGAAAGGGTTGGCTTTAGAGTCTGAAAGATCTGATTTCACCTTATCTTTCATTGTCCTAGAGAAATCACAGTTATTAAAGAGCCTCTGAACTTCATTGGTGCAGGGATTTCCAACACTGGGAATTTACGGCCCGAATCTCCAAAATAAAAAAATTATCCCAGTGCACTGCACAGCACCAGTCCCAGGACGGAGGCAGGACATGTCTCTCGTCGTTTCTGCTTGACCCAGGCCTGCACTCGAACAGGCCCAGGTGTAGATGCATACGCATGCGCATGCGCGGCACCAGCCCAGCAAGGCCACAAACGCGAAAGTACCTCAGGCTGAGCAATGAAGGGGCGGGGCTGAGCCTGAACCGCTCGTTTCTCGGGGTCGAGGGAGTAGGGTGCACTTCGGCTCGACACTCGAGCCTGTGCCGGGTTCTAGGACGACAATACGTAAACTAGCATCGCAGTACAAAGACAGCCTCAAACCCCAAGTCAAATTTGAAACCTATTAGGCGGAAGTACTGGCTAAGTTACTTCCGGTAGAACTCCAAAGCTCCGCCCTCCGTCGGCCGAGCACCAATCACAGGGATCCCCGGGAGTCCGCTCACGCACGGGCCGGGTGCAAGCACGCATGCTCACTATGTCGTATTGGCGTCTGCAAGTGCCGGCAGCGGGGCTCTGGCTGTAACCCGGCTCGAGCGCTAGCTAGGGCTGCCTGGGGGTCTGCGGGGCCGGCGGCACACGAGCCGCCATGCGGCTGGGCTCAGGAGCCTTCGCCGCCTGCTGCGTGGTGATTGAGGTGCTCGGGGTCGCTGTCTTTCTCCGGGGTTTCTTCCCCGTGTCGGTGCGCTCTGCGTCCCGGGTCCAGCCCCTGACCCCTGCGCCGGAGCCCGCGGCAGGTACGGAGGCTAGGCCTCCCCTCCCTCGGTCCCGGGGTTCCTCCGCTGTCCCCCCTGCCCGCCCTTCCGCTACCTCACTCCCCCTCCCCGGGAGCCTCCCTCTGGTGCCCCCCCCATATATGCCAGGTGAGGGAGGGGACCTCCCTTTCGTACTCTTCCCCCCCCAGGATCCTCTTCTCTGTACGCCTCCCCTCCACCCTCCCTCCTGTGAGGGGTAGGGGGTCCTCCCTGCCCCAAGTTCCCTTCTTTGCCCTCCAGGTAAGGGCTCTCTCGCTGGATGGGGGGTGGAGGGGCTTCGCGTAAGTCTGATAAATCAACTCACACGTTAACAGGACCTTTTTGGGTCCTCGCCCTCAGCTCACACCCTTCCCTGCCTCAACCTTGAGATTCCTCCAGAAAGATCCAGCATCTGACCTTCCTTGGCCTCCCCATAGATGCGTTCAGTTTGTCTGTGCCCTCACCCAATCACAAGCGCTGTGGTTCCTTCGGTTCAGCTAGTGAAAATTTAGTAAAGCCCTACTATGTGCAAGGCATTGTGTTTCCAACTTCCTTGCTCCCCATAGGTTTATAATGGTGAATTTTTAGTTCATGTTATGTATAGCAATTGGGATCATTAAAGGCTGAAAAGAGACAGGACCTTAGACCTTTCCTCCCACGTTGAATAAAACCAGGACTAAGTACATCATAAAGGTGACGTCTTGACTTCTGTGTGAATTGGATTTAAGTTCGAGTTGCACAAAGTTGACACGAGGGGAAATAAAGTTGTTGTGTAGGCACATTTTACAACCATGACCGACATAAGTGATCCCCTAGAGCCCAACAATGTGATTTGGGAACCTGTGAAAGCAGCCCAGTGATAGTACTGAAAGTATGCTACTGTGGTGAGGTCTCAGTACAGGGTTCCCTGCCCTCAGTGGTTCTGAAGCACAGAACCCCGATTTGTAATTTCCACAGCCTTTCTAGGGCCTGTAAAACTGGTTCCCCTGGTCCAGGATTTTAACCACACTTCCCCAAAACCCCACCCACAATGGGGAAAAGGGCCTTTGCATACTACTGTACTGATCAATTTTTTTCCATTCCGTCATTGCCAAGTAGAGCATATGTCTACAGTAACTTAGATAGTGAGCCTCAGTGGTTTGAGAGCCATTTCTCCCACTCCAGATATGAATGTATAGATTCTTAGAAGAATGATACTTCAACACTTAAAATGACTTGTTTTAGAGCCTGGTCACTCAGATTTACTGGTATAAAACTTTAGTCACTGGGATATTACTGACCCCTTGAAAAATGGCACTATGTGCAGATTTTTTTGTTTTGTATTTTTTTAATCACTTCAGAATCCTTGAATGGCATCTTGAAGCTACATAAACATTTCCCACTCTTTCTCATTAACATATGTTGGACATATACTCTCCTACTGTCCTTCCCATGTAAATGTGTGTAACAGATGTTCCCTGGGGTGGGGAGATGGGAGAGAAGAGTCTTCTTTTCTTTTTGGACTTTTCTTCTTGGCTGGGCCTTGGTTTCAGAATATCTTCTATCAAAACATCTTTCACTAATCTGAGACAAGATTGTCCATTTTATGGGGGATGCTTCTGATATTACCCAGAGAGTTTCCTGGAACTTAGAGCATGTAAAACAGTGTGATATTGCTGTGTATTTACTGCTCCTTGGCTTCTTGCAGAGCTGAGTGATTGTCCAAACACTTCTCGCCTAACTCTCTCAAAGAGCCCTGCAACCCCCTCCCCCCAAAGTTTTCACAGTCATCTAATCCACAGTAACATTCAGTGTGGTGAGTGATGCAAATAAAAAATGCATGCACCTATTTTGCCTTTAATTTCTGATTCAGAGATATCATAAATGGAGTGTCCTGGTCTTAGATTCAGAAGACTTGGGTTTGAGTCTTTAATTAATCACTGTAACTGTTGATTTACTTAATCACTCTGAGCTACAGTTTTCTTATGGGGCTAATATTCCACTGTTAAGTAGATGTGAAAAGTACTGTGTGAACTCTAAAGTACTATACAAATGTGAGCGATCATTACTATATTTGGCATTCCTTAGCCTTGTGTTTATGGCTGTAAATTGTCAGTGATTGCTCGGGTTTATCCAAATGCCTCCAGAACAGAGGTAGACTGAAGAGATCTGAACTAGATTAAAATGTAATTGGGAGATATTTGACAGAAGAAATAAAAATACAACAAAATATAGATAAAACATTACATTTTAAAACTAAATCTTTTTGCAGCATACAGAGATCCTTATGTCTGGATTAGTGGGCCCCATTTCTATTTGCTTTTTACACCACTGCTCAAGAGGACTGAACACCTTCCATACCCTCTCCTCACCTCCCAGCTCTCTTGACCTCCCCCAGGCCACCTGCAGTATGTTACCTATCATTATCTTATGTGTCCTCTTCCATGACTTGCTGTAGCTCACTTAGCCTTGAGAACTAGGCAGAATGACTTCCCACTTCTGTTGAGCTCCTCCCAAACAAAAATCCGTCCTCTGCTACATGCTAACCAATTCCCAAAATTACTCTCCTCCCTGTGCCAGTATTGATTTTGGGTTAACCTCAGCATCAGTACTTTTGACAGCCTAACACCATATATGTTAGTGTGGTACCTTTTTGATAGTAGAAATCCCCAGGTGAAATTAATCAAAGCACAGCTCCACTGATATCTTCTTTTTTCTTTGCTGTGGTCCATGGGGACTGGCTTTCTTGTTCCTTATTAGCTGTAACTGGCTGTTATTTCTGAATAGGGTCTTTCCCAACCTTGTCTTTTCCTCCTCCATCATGTTCCTGAGCAGGTAGGTGGGCAGTCCTCTTGAGTCCATAGAGTTGTTTTTTGTTTTTTTGTTTTTGTTTTTGGGTTTTTTTTGTTTTCTTTTTTTATGTGAGGCAATTGGGGTTAAGTGACTTGCCCAGATTAACACAGCTAGTGAGTGTTATGTGACTGAGGCCGGATTTGAACTCAGGTCCTCCTGACTCCAGGGCCAGTGCTCTGTCCACTGTGCTACCTAGCTGCCCTGAGTTTTTAGTTTTTTTTTTAAACATTAGAAATTATATAGGATTGCTATGAGAGGGTGCCGGCTTTCCCAGTAGTTATTAATTTGAAATTATAAAGTCTTAGAATAACTCCTTAGCTTTTTTCTTGACTTGTACTAATCTTTTTATTTGTTTGGCTCGATCATGGCCATTTCTTCCATCCCTCATGTATCCTTCCTCCTCTTGGTCCCCTTTAATACCATCTTCTTACTTGTTCCTCCAATAGAAAAAGATCCAGCACAGTTATAAATGGAGACTGTTTCACTTTTTGCTTTTCCTGGGAAAGCCTTCTTTTGTCATTCCCAGAGGTCACACATTCCTTTTTCCTTACTGGAATTTTTTGCTTGCTATACGTTCTTTATTTCCTCTCCACATAGTTATGAGTTATATTGATTTCTGTTGCTCTTCCAGTATGTTTTCTTTATGGTTGCCCTTCATGTCTGGAATGATTTCCTTTCTTCACCTCTGCTCCTGGAAATCCCATTTCCTTTAAAATTCAGCTACCTTTTACATAGATCCTCTCCAGACTTTTTTTTTTTTAACTTTGTTTCTCTAGTGCTTATCACAGTACCTGGCACATAGTAGGAGCCTAATAAATGCTTGTTGGCTTGACTTGACCCCTTCCACTGCCAGCTGCTAGTACCCTCTTTCCCCTAAGTAACCTTGAATTTATATTGTATATGCTTATATGTGTACATGTTACCCCCACTGCAATGTAAGCTCCTTAAATTAAAGGCCTGCATTTTTGTTTTTGAATCATCAAGGCCTATCACATTGCCAGACACATAGAAAGCACTTAGAAATAATCTTTATTGATTGATTAATGTAAACTATATATTAAATGTTCTTATACTGAATATTTTGATCACCTGCATTTCATTCCTTGCCATTAGAAGGTCTAGAGAGGTTATTGCTGTCTGGAAAGGTTATTGGAGGAGAAGTATGGCAGGTGTTCATAGGCAGTACGAAGTTCAGTAGCAGAACATTTTTACAGCTCAGTAGCAGAACATATTGATAGCAAGGTTCTATTGGATGTATGTAACACAATATTCGATTAGAGACTCTGAACCAGTCTTGATTCAAACATAATTATATAGAATTTATGATATATATTATTACAGTAAATATCCCATCATTTTATACCTTAGCATATTTTTAATGTTAAATGTTTAACGGTTTTGTGTTAAAGGAATTCAAATTCTTTTCTTTTCCCCTTTTTAAATACTTTTGTAGGAACAACTTCCAACTGGACCCAGCTTCCACCTCCTCTCTTCAGAAAAGTTGTTATAATGCTGGTAGACGGCTTGAGAGGCGATTTTGTTTTTGGATCAAAGGGTGTGCAATTCATGCCTTATACAACTTATCTTATAGAAAAAGGATTCACTCATAGTTTTATAGCAGAAGCAAAGCCACCCACTGTCACTCTGCCTCGAATCAAGGTAAACAGTTTGATATGGTGTTTTATGACCTCATAATGGTGGTTCAGAGTGGCTCTGTGTATTCTGGTTCTTAGAATTCACACTTACTACCTTTATTCCTTCCCACTCTGTATATATTAATTTAGGGCTTAGTAGTAATGCAGGAAATAGTCTGGAAATGTCCCCAATAATGTGGTCTGGACCTTTATGGCTTCTGTTAGCAATGAAAATCAGTACTTGCATGATGAATTCCCAGGAAAGGTACTTTGGAAGGAGCTGTAGCTTTAGCATTCAGCAAGATCTCCCTTGTGGTTTTCCGCGCCCATACATAATTGTGTTTAATCATTGTAGACCAGAAGTTTAAAGAGTCGTAGAACTGTAGAACCAAAAGGGATCTTCGAGGAGGTTCTGTCCAGATGTTATCTTAACATCTGAGGGAATGCACCCTGGAGAGATAAAGTGACCATGGAACTACTTCACAGAAGAGCACAAACTGGAAGAAGTTCTTTTGTTCCTTCATCTAAAGTTTAACTAGAGCTGTTTGGATGCAGAGAGCACTGTGGTAGGTACTAGGGCAGATACCAGGTGTAACTCAAATGTGGTCCCTGAACTCTAGTAGGGCATAAGACGTGAACAGATACCTATGAGACAGAATACAGAGTCCCAAAAGTCTTAGTCCTGGCACTTTGTCCTCTTTCTTCCTAAATTTTAATAGCTTAAAAAGGCATGAAGATTTCTGGGACATGCTGTGTAAGTGCACTGGAAATGTGTAAACAATGTGTTAGTGACCCATTGAAGATCAGAGATGATCATTATTGATGGAGGTAGTATTTCGTTTGAGTTTAAAGGAGGTAAGAATTTAGCCAGTGGAGCCGGAGAGGAGGAGGATGTTCCTGAAATAAAATTTAGTATGGCACCAAAGTAAGAGTAGAGGGCATGCTAGCGGGGTATGTATTGTGGGGAGGGAGGAATGGAAAGTTGAAGAGATGTGTGTTGTGTTAGCTGGATGAAGCTAGGCAAAGAAGTTATTTATTTGATAGGTCATAGGGAACCACTGAAGATGACTGAGTCTAGGAGTAACGTGACCAATTCTATGAGTTTTTGGTACCACCCAGCCCCCAAACTCCTAGACCTGTGAGTTCATTGGTATAAGTAATTCCTAATGAGGAAGCTCTCTCAACCAATGCAGATAGGTTGCTGCTCTCCAGCTCCTGGGGCACTTAGAGGTTAAATGACTTTCCCCAGTTAGGCAGCCCGGGAACTGAACCCAGCTGTTCCTGACTGAGGCCAGCTCTCCATCCACTATACCATGCTGCCTCTTGGTCAGTGGATAAGGAAGGTATTTTGGCAACGGTTTGAGGGATAGCTTAGAATAGGAGAGATCTGTGCATGTGTCTGTGATGTTGTAGGTGAATGGTTATGAGGGTCTGTAGTAGTGGAGTTGACGAGGTTTGGGGGTGCTAGGACCCTGAGAATGCCAAGACAGAGTTGCCTGGAATGAATTCACACACTCAAGCCTTCTCTTAGTGAAGTGGCAGAAAAGTTTATTATAATGCCTTAGCAAAAGCTGGCAAGGGTCCTTAGGGAACCTGCTAGATACTGAGGCTGGTACTGGGACTTATATGGAAAAGGGGCATGAGAAAGCAATGCCAGGGATACTAATTAGATAATGCAAGGGGTCCAGGTGTCTTTGGGAGCTGTGGATGGGAAAATGTAAGGAGTTTTGCAGAGATAACTTTGTTAATACCAGAAATTGAGGGAGTTGTCAGAGGCATGGACCTTGGGGATCTGGCATGAGGAAGAGTCCTTGGGCCAGCCAAGGACAAAAATCCTTGGGCCAGGCATCTTTGTGTCTGTTCGGATAAGAGAATGTGTCGTGCAACAAGGGAAATTTTCCTCGCGTGATATGGGCCTACTAAGGAATTGGGAAGCTTCCAGAGACATTATCTTAGGGCTGGGGCCCAAGCACCCCATCAGAATGACCCTAGGAACAGAGATAAAGGAATGGGTGGAGAAGTTGTGGTAGTCTGTGAAGAGTGAGCTAGAGGGAAGAGTCACACCAATGTTTCGTGTTTGGGAGATGGTACCTGGTAGAGCCGCAGAATAGAAACAGCGAAGCCAGAGGGAGGGCCACATTTGGGGGCAAGAAAATAACCTCTGTTTGGGACATGTTGAGTTTGAAGTATGGTTGGGACAGGGAGGTGACATAGGCAGCTGGAGATAAGATTTGAGCTCAACAGGGAGGCTAGGTCTGGAGATGTAGATTTGAAAGTTACAGACATGAAGAACTTGCTGATACAGAGGATAGAGAAGGAAGAGAAAAAGCAGTGCGGTTAGTGGGAAAAGCCGGAGATTTAGAATTCAGAGACGATGCAGAATCCCAACTCTGCTTAATAAATTTTCTTGCTCGATTGAAATGTTTTCAGCCTTTGTATAAGCACTTAACCTCTTAGTACCTCCGTTTCTTCATCTATAAAAGTAAGGGGTTGTAGTAGATGAATGTTTTCCAGGAAGCCCTACAGCAATGCCAGCAACAGGAGTAGTTAGAAAGATAAGCAGAGTGGCTCCTTGGTGGAGCCGTGGGAGAGGCTGGTGAGCTGGGTGAAAAGCAGCAGCGAGGTGTAGAAGGTCTCCATCTGGGCAGAGGTTATCACTTCTGACCGTAAGGAGGTGGTTGGTGACCTTAAAAGGATAGTGAGTAGGTAGTTAGGAAATAGAAACATTGGGTATAGACTAGTAGTCTTTTGCAGGCTCTCCATCCTTTTGTAAGAAAGAACTACTTCCCCCCCCCCCCAAGCCTTGAAATTAAGGTGAGACAAAGACAGCTTAAAGAGATGATAATAACAGCAAACATTTACATGGTGCCTACTGTGTACAGGCACTGTGCTAAGCTCTTTACATATAATTAATTTAAACTAAGCAGGAAGAGATGAAAATCCATAATTCTCTTTGACCCTTTATCTCCTAAGTTCCTTATTTATTTTACCTTGACTTGACCACTTTGCTGGTACTTAAGCTGATGTATGTGACTGCATCACACCTGGATACTAGCAGGGCTCTGACAAAAGGCTGAGGGGATAGGAAAGGAAACTCTTTCCTTTTAGTTCAAGTGAGACAAGATTGGAATTTTCCAAAAGGAATTTTTAGGAGGAAACAAAGTAGAGAGGGCATAAATGAGGTAGTATCCTTATACAAGCATAAAAATAAAACCTATAATATGGAGAGGGCAGCTGGGTGGCACAGTGCATGGAGCCCTGGGCTGGGAACCAGGAAGATTCATCTTTCTGGGTTCAAATCCAGCCTCAAACACTTACTAGCTATGTGACTCTGGGCAAGTCACTTAGCCATGTTTGCCTCAATTTTCTCATCTGTAAAAAGAGCTAGAGAAGGAAATGGTAAAGCACTTCAGTATCTGTGCCACGAAAACCCCAAATGGGATCACGAAGAGTTGGACACAACTGAAATGACTGAACAACATTACGTATATTTCTGATCCTAACTTCAGTTATGATACGCCAAATATTTATTTGATTTGACTAACACAAACCACTAGGTTCCTGGTTCCTTTTTCTCACTGTAGCCCTATATGGGGAGCCCTCCCCCAGAAGCCACCCTGGTTAAGTTTTCCGTGGTCCCCTTATCAAGAGTTGGTGCTATATAGCTGGGAGCTCTAGGCATATGTAATTTTAATAACAGGCATCCTGATCATCATAGAGCAGTCTTCAAGGTCTTTACTGGATTAATAATAATAATGATGATACTAGCTGGCACTTATATAGAGCTTTAAGGTTTGCAGAGTGCTTTACATGCATGTTAACTAGAACCTAGAGAGAAAAATAATGTATTAGGACCCTTGGAACAGAATGTTGAGAACGAGTGTCATTTGGCTGTGGATGTATGTTCCTGCTTGTGTATGTTCCTGCTTGACCCCTATCTCTTCTCTCCGAGACTTCTTTAAAAAATGCAGTTTTACATACACAGCATTTCCTGTGCCCTAGTGCTATTAAGTGCCTTTACCCTTTCTCCCAGACTGCTGCTTCCCTCATTCCTATTATCCTTGCACTTATAATTTCATTGTTCCACTGGTATTGATCAGAACATCTCCATGCCTTCTTTTCCTATGCAGCTTTTGTCCGTGCCTTTTTTGTTTATCTGAGACTTTTCAAGTCACGTTTTAAGCAGGAGTGAGGTAGTTCTTGGTACTTCCCATGTCAGAGGGCTATGACCACATGAAAAGGAAAATGTGAACCCGTCTGTAGGGGCCTTACACAATTCCCTCCTTGACATGTGCAGGAAGAATTCCATCATTGGTTGGGCATTTCTCACCTTGCATCTATTTAGCTGTTGCCACCATCTGGTCCCACTTTACGGGTGGGTGTATTATTAGTTGATATCCAGTGGTGTCCATCTGACTGATTCAAGAACACATAGACTACTGTAGAACTTTTGGCCGATGACGTGGGTGATGTTCATTCCCTTTTGGTCCATGTTGTACTGAGTGTTCTCATCTATTAATGTGACCAGTCTTCTCTGCTGCAGTAGGATGATGCTCTTCTCCTTTCTCCGGGTAGTTTCTTCTTGTGTTAGAGGCAAAGCCTTCTGAATTCTTTGCTGTCTAGGCTGACCTTGGTTTCCTGCCTTGGCCTTCCTCTGCCCCTTTCATGGGCAGTCTCCCTTTCTTGCTGAGTTACGTTTTGCTCTGGCTGAACGTTCTCACTCTGTCGGCACCAAGGACAGCCTTGTGAGGAAGCAAGCTCCCATCCTCTTTATTGGAACCTTCTTTCACTCTGAGCTAAAGATCTTCAGGCCCCAGTATGCCAGGCAGTGCTAGTACCAGTCAGTGCTCAGGCATGGAACAGTTAGCATAGCAAGGGTGCTTTGAGTTTGTCTTATTTGACCTTTTGCAATGACATGGATAGTCATCACTCACTCTGAGATCCTGGTAATGATTCTTTAATAACAGAGAAGAATTGCCTCATGTTATTTGTGATAAAATGAGATGAATTAATACTCTCTCATTG